ATTTACATTACCTAGTTTGAGGAAACGCAGGTACCTTTTTATGGCAATAGATTTTGCTGCTATATTTGTGTCTGCTGTGATAGTGCTCTAAGAGTTGTTTCACCTTCCTTCTTCCAACAGCTCTTCTAACTACACTGGAGGCAACTGGTTGTGAAGAAACGAAAGCATCTAATTCAAATACGTGTTGGTTTTCTTTCAGCTTCTCGCACATCTCTTAAAAGCGATACCCACACTAAAGAAGTAAAAAAAATAATCAAGGACACACACATCTCAGAACGTACTGTCTAAACCAAGCTTTCATCCCATGCCCCTCAGGAAAAAAGTAACATAGCATGGCTGTCTCATCTATACAGGACGAGGCTCAGCTGGGATAAGAAAATTTAGAAAAGAACCAACAGTAGTCACAATACAGAGGTGTCTGTAAGAACTAAGAATATAATTCGGCTTTTATTTTAAATGTGTTAAATATTTTATTAATAGCTATGGAAAATTTATGGCCCAGAAAACAAGAGCTTGAAGAGTTTATCACAAACACACCCACACCAAAGTATACTACAAACCAACTTAACGTGCTAGTACTTTCTCCCCCTAAACTTTCATAGAATCTTTTTTTTTTAAATACAAATAAACATAATTTAGCCATAAGGAAGCAACCAAAACAAGAAATTACTCGATGATGTTATAAATTGTGTTTTCCATTTTGGTAACTGATAGCACCTGATAGGATCTACCTTATTGGGTAGATATTGGTAACTGACATAATTTCAAAAACTACACAATATTATTTGTGGGATAAGCTAACTCTGGCGTTCTTCGTACGCAAGATTCGCTGGACTTGGGATGCAGAAAAACCTTTTCTGTTGTGTTACTCAGGCAAATTCCCTGAGAAGAGACATTCAAGATGGAATGAAAGGTGGCTGGAGGCATAACGCCCACACCGCTGCATCCAACTGGGGAATAACCCAAGGCTAACCAAAGCAGCAGCGACATATGTTCCTCAGCTGCCTCCAGTCAGAAAACCAACCACCCCAAGTGTACCTACACCAGTGCAAGCAGTCCAGGGAACAAACAGGAGGAACGGGAGCTCCACACCCAGTCAGAAAGTTATGGTATCACAGGAACAACTGAAAGATGGTGGGACAACTCACATGGCTGCAGGATGGAAACGGATGGCTATAGGCTGTTTCATAAAGACATGCAGGGAGGAAGAGGAGGAGTCACGCTCTATGTTAAGGAGAACCTTGAATGCATAGGGGTAAACTGCAGTGATTGTGGAAGCCCTATCGAAGGCCACTGGATCAAGATCAGAGGGGACATCTCCAAAGGCGATCTTACAGTAGGCATCTGCTACTGACCTCCGAACCGAGACCACAAGGCCAGGAAAACAATATTAAGTCACTTCAGCATGCCTCGGATCAACAGAACCTGGTTCTTGTTGGTAACTTCAATTACCCAGACATTTGCTGTAAGAACAATACAGCAGATCACATCATTCACCAAGTTCCTGGAATGCATATAGGACTGCTTCCTCACGTAAACATTACATGTGCCAACCAGGAATGAGGTACTGCTGCCCTTGCTACTCTCAAACCAAGAGAACCTGCTTTGTAGTGTCTTGGTAGGGACAGCGTTGGCTGCAGCGATCACAATATCATGTAGATTTTGGGATCCTGCTGAGAATGCCAAAGGTTAGTACTGAAGACAAAAGGTTTAGATTTCAGAAGAGCACACTTCAGCTCACTCAGTTGGGAGGCATTCTACAGGAAGCTTCCATGGAGGACAGAGGAGCTAGCAAGTGCTGGGAATTTTTCAAGAATGCTCTTCTGGAACCACAAAAGCAATTAATCCCCTTTAAAGGTAAGGGAAGTAGGTGGAGGAAGAGACCCCCTTGGCTTAACTGCAAGCTTCTCCGTCTGCTCAAATCCAAAAGAGAAGCACATCAGACATGGAAAAGCAGATAAAAACCTGTTGAGAACTACAAGGGCATTGCCAGGGCATGCAGAGATGCAGTTAAAAAAGCAAAAGCTCAGCTCGAATTGAAATTGGCCAGAGATGTCAAAAACTACAAGAAAGAGTTCTACAGGTACATCAACAACAAGCAGAAAGAGAAGGAAAATATTGGCCGGCTATTAAACAAGACAGGTGAATTAGTCACCAGCAACACTGCAAAGGCAGAGGTTCTCAGCACTTTCTTCACCTCTGTTCTTCTGTTCCTAGGCCTTGGGAACAAAAACCCAGGTTGATGCAAAGACAGACCCATTGCCAGTGAAGGAAGAGTTGGTACGTGAACCCTTACAGGAGCTTCACCCCTACACACCGCTGGGCCCTGACGATACCCACCCGAGGGTGGTAAGAGATGGCTGGCGTTGCGAGGCTGCTCTCCACAATCTTTGAGAAGTTGTAGAGATTGGGGGATGTCCCAAAAGACTAGAAGAGGGCTAATGTCACCTCCATCTACGAAAAGGGCTTAAAGGAGGATCCAGGAAGTTATAAGCCCATCAGTCTTACTTCAGGCCCTGGGAAAGTTACAGAACAAATCCTCCTGGGGGCTATCACAAGGCAAATGAGCCATGTGATTGGGAAAAGTCAGCATGGATTCACCAAGGGCAAAGCACGCTTGACAAACCTGATGGCCTTCTACAACTGGCTCGGTTGATGCGAGGTGAGTGGTAGACATCGTATACCTGGCTTTCTCCAAGGCTTTTGATACGGTTTTCCACAGCCTCCTCCTAAAGACACGGATACATTATGGTCTAGATAAGTGGCCTGTGTGGTGGGTGGGGAACTGGCTAACATCCAGAAGATGATGGCCAGTAGCTCCTTTTGAAACTGGCAACCTGTCACAAATGTGGTCCCCCAGGCATCGATATTGCGGCCAACGCTGTTTAGTATCTTCACAAGTGATCCGGATAACGGGATCAAGTGTACCCTGGTGAAGTGTGCTGATGACATCTAACTGAGCTGCAACCGGACAGCTCAGAAGACAGAGCCACCCTGCAGGAAGACCAGGCTAACGAACACTTTATGAAGTCCAACAAAGACAAGCATAAGGTCTTGCACCTGGGAAAACATCATCCAGGAGAGCAGAACAGGCCGGGAAGAAGCTCTGTGGAAAGGCACCTGGGGGTCTTGGTGGACAGCAAGCTCAATAGGAGTGAACAGTGTGCTGCTGCGGCAAAGACAGCCAACAGGATGGCCGGTTGCAGCGATATGGTTTAATGGGGATTAGGGACGGTTGGACTCAATGATCTCTAAGGTCTTTTCCAACCTCGAAATCTATGAATCACCAGCACAGAAAAAGAAATCATTATCCCACTCTACTCAGCACTTGTCAGGCCACACCTGGAACACTGTGTTCAGTTTTGGTCCCCACTGTGCAAAAACGATGTGGACAGGCTGGAGAGGGTCTGGAGAAGGGCCACGCAGATGAGCCAAGGGCTGGGAAGCTTGCCATATGAGGAAAGGCTGAGAGATCTGGGTTTGTTCAGCTTTGAGAAAAGAAGGCTTAGGGGAGACCTTATCATGTTCCAGTATTTAAATGGGGGCTACAAAGAAGATAGACACTCCCTTTTTACAAGGAGTCACACAGAAAAGACAAGGACTAATGGGTACAAGTTACTCCTGGGGAGATTCCAACTGGACACAAGAGGAAAATTTTCCCCAATGAGAACAGTCAGCTGTTGGAACAATCTCCCCAGGGAAGTGGTAGGTTCCCCAACATTGGACACTTTCGGATGGACAGGCTGCTGGGCCATCTTGTCTAGATTGTGGTTTTGCCAAGAAAGGTTGGACCAGATGATCCTTGAGGTCCCTTCCAACCTGTTATCCTATGATAAAATAAATGAAGCTTTTTACTTATTCTTGCATAGGAATTTAACATTTTCAGCTTTCAAAACAAAACTCAAGCAACAGCTGGTGAAATGTTTGGACCTAGAGGGAAGATAGGCAAGAACGAAGGGTATAAAATAGTCATCTGGCCAAGGAATATTTTTGAATATTTCAAAGTTTCTTAAACAAAAGTCCTCATGCTAGTAACAATACTGTCAAATGACAGTTCACGTCAAGCACTTTGACGCATAAAAACAACTGTGTTAGGTGGTAGACTGGATTTTCAAAACTTATTTTTAGTCACCTCCTGTTTCTAAAGTTTTTGTAGGAACAACTTCCTATTTAACTTGCAGAAATATTTATTATGGCCACAGAATGATACCCAAGTTTATTGCCAAAAGAATATAGAAACAAACAGTACTTAAGGCAAGAAATCATGTTCAGGGCACACTCTCCATGTATGTGCCGACACGAAATTTCGTCTGTTGTAACCCAAAATGCAGGTGTAAACGTTTCACACAAGAACACATTGTTACCATGACTGTCAGATTCAAGAGCTACCAACCATTTGATATGCTTGAGCAGAATGAGTGCCCAAACACATTTAAAGTTAAAAAGTTCACTAAGGAATTAAAAAAAAATAAAAGAAATCAGAATACTAGTTAAAGCTGAAATATTAACAAAGTGCTTTGCTAGAATTATTGCCATTGTATGTGAAATATGCACATTTCACACTATTTAAATATGCCAACAACACACATATTGCCTGAAAACAAATGTAACAACAGAAAGTACTTCAGAAAAGCTAGATGAAACTAGAGAGTTAGTTCTGGAAAAAAAAACAATAACTAGATTACTGCATTTAACTAGCACTGTTACTTTGACACAAACATGTACAAGTCTACTGTATTTCTCTTTGTCTGAATTTTAAAAGTCAACATATTTAAAGAGAAACTAAAGCTTTACAGACACTATTGAAAATGTAACCAATCAGAGAGGCCTCTTGAAACTGTCCCATAACTACTTACAGCAAATCTGAATTTTTTTATACTTCAGATACTAATGGAAGGTGAACAGCTCTCAGTGACAATATATGTACGTAGGACATAAGCACCACTAAAAAGTCTTTTAATTTATGGGACACATAAAAGTAAAGTCATCAGGACCTGTACCTTGTGCTGGCGACACTTGGTGATTCTGCTCCAAGCCTACATCTTTCTAGCTGATTAGCCACAATTTGCCTTTCCACTTCCAGTTCTCTGGTAAGTCTTTGAAATTGGAGCTCCTGAAATTTCAAAATAAAAAGAAAAGCATTCTTGATGTTAAAAAATGGGTGTGGATTAATTCTGAAACAACCACTGTTCCATCACAATCACGTTTCTTGTTTTGACTCTTCCGTAGTGGAACAAACTATTAGAAGATTTAAGTTGGAATTCAATGGTTCTTTAAATCAGTGATTCATGCAAATATTGATTTATCACCTGTTACAAAAGGAAAAACATGATAAGCATTTGTGGATTTTATTCTTTCTGCAATTAAAATTTTTGTGTCTCCTTATGTTGCCACAACCTAAGCAAATCAGTGCCTACAAAGACAGTCTTCAATTTCATCTATAAACGAGGGCTACTGGAAAATATTGTATCTTAGCCTTTCCAGCTGAAAAACTCCAAATCCTAAGCTACGCTACGTTCCGACTTCCGTAGTCGAAAAATTACAATTTATTATTTCAAACTGGCTGAGGGTAGAGATGTGCTATTTCACCTTTCCCGATTTCAGCTTTTGTTACATCTCTTGGTGAAAAGTACCAAACCTCAGCCCCTGCAGAAGGCTTTTGGAACACGATGCTCAGAGGAAGACACGGGAAATACAAGTGCTGCACAGAACATTTGTGTGTTAATAAAATCTGGAAATATTTGCTCTAAACTGGATACTCTGAAATCTACACTGTGTCATCAAGGGACAGCAGAGATGTTTCCACCCACAGTTAGCTTTTGCTAATGATAGAAAAGGATTCTGTCAAGCAACTGCATTATTTTTCAAACTGATATTCTACATCCCCTGAAGTTCAGGCGAACCATGCAATGCAACCTAAAGCTAGATGAACACCAGTGTTTAATGGTCCAATGCAGTAAGGCTTGCACACCGGTCACATGCAGGACAGAAGCACTGCTTTAAACCGCAAATTGCTAATAAGGGGTTTTCTCAATGTAAACGATGAAAGTGTATTACACAGGAGCTGCACGCCTTGCCGTGTTCCCAAGGTGATTTTCACCCATTTTCGGTACAAAAGGTCCCCGTGTTCAGCAAGGTGAGGCACCCTGGGGTGCTCAGCACTCTGCCTCGCACAGCTCACTCCCAGAGGCCTCACAGCAGTGCAAAAGAAAGGCTGGAGTAACAGTGCAGTAAAAAGCTACTCTAAACCCAAGATGTCCCTTGCAGAAGTAGGGATAAAGTTTTTTCTACCGACAACGCAATGAGATCTCTCCCAAGAACGCCCGAACAGAAGGCTGGTCAGGACTGATTCCAGCAGGAAGCCAGCTGAGGGCTAAGGCCAACAGCAGCTGCTGTGCTGCCGAAACGATTCTACTTCTTAGAACACAAAACCCAAAACGCAACTTCTGAAGTCCATTCGAGCTCCACACAGCAAACCGGCCTGTTGAAGACGCGCCACCCAAGCTGCTGCCCCTCCCAGTCGATACAAGGGGTGGCAGAGACTGTCCAATGCCTTTCAGAGCTCACTAGCCAAACTGAAGCACACTCCGAAGTTCCAAACACCGTCCAGCAACACCATTTGCCTCCAGGACATGGAACTCACCCACTACTGCCACAGGACACCGGCATCCGCAGAACGAGACCGCGTGTTTCTACTATGGCTCTACTGAGAGCAGCTCATCGGAACAGAATGCTCTCTAGTTCTGTCAGAAACACACGCACACCATGGGAGCAGCGGGAGGGAGATGTGGTCCTCCACTTCCCCCTGGTCACCCCTTCCACTAGGTTGGCATTTACAGTCAAGCTTCACCATCAGAAATGCTTAGCACAGTCAATGCCCACTGTGGGGCCCCCAGCACAGGAAGGGCATGGAGCTGTTGGAGCAGGTCCAGAGAAGGGTCACGAAAATGATGCGAGGGCTGATGAGCAACCTTCTAGCAGCCTTCTAGTAACTAAAATGGGCCTGCAAAAAAGCTGGAGAGGGACTTTTTATAAGGATGTGTAGTGATAGGACAAGGGGCAATGGCTTTAAACTGAAAGAGGGCAGATTTTGATTTGATCTAAGGAAGAAATTCTTCCCTCTGAGGGTGGTGAGGCACTGGAACAGGTTGCCCAGAGAAGTTGTAGATGCCCCTTTCCATGTTAGATGAGGCTTCGAGCAGCGTGATCTAACAGAAAGTGTCCCTGCCCATGGCAGGGGGGTTGGAACTAGATGATCTTTATGGTCCCTTCCAGCCCAAACCATTCTGTGATTCTATGAAAGAGCATTTTAGGACATACGTCCTAAATTTGGATTTTGTTAGAACCTGCTTTTAGGCAGAATTCTAAAGCTAAATCCTTTTAATCCCAAGACCTGATACGAAAAGCCTCATGAACATGATAACCTGTGGACCACAGCAAACCTTATGGGCCTGTACATGGACTAGAAGGTATGGATAACGTCAGGAGGTTTGTACGACACGTAACTGCATCCAGCAGCAGAGTCTCAGTTGCCACAGTCTGATACCAGGTCTTGGCATGATGTACACATGCACCCAGTTAGTTTTTTTTGGACAGTTTGTCTTTTGAAGAGAAAATACTAAAACGTGTATTACAGCAAAAAAAGTCAAATTTATAAAGAAGAATTTATTTTCCAATTCTAAGTCTGAATATAGAACCCTCTGAAAGCTGATTCACCAGCCAGTCATCAACATGCTGTGATTTTCAAAAAAAACATTCAGATGCTGAAGCTCTAAGTTTTGAGGCAAATGTCAGCAATACAAGCTTTTTCCCCAAGTGAACCACGATGTGTTATATAGCAGGTAACACACAGAAATCTTTAAAATAAACAGTACTGCACTGCTTGTTTGCAGAAATAACAGAAAATATTTACCTGACGTTTAAAGCTGTTTCCTGTTCCTTACTTTTAAATAGCAACACCATTAGTACCAACTATGAATTTGAGTACAAGACTCCAGTTGCCTCTTGTTATTTACTGATCTTTTAATTAGATCAACAAACCGAAACACATGCTAGCCATTATTTGCCTCCATCCAACCGACCTCTATCAGCCTTCTCATTACAGGCAGAGGCATTACTGAAAACAACATTATTCTGGAGAACACTCTGCTACTACCTGCTACGAACACAGACTCCTCCGAGCCTCTCCTCCCTTTGCCACCTTCTCCTGCCCTCCAAGGGCCCTTTACACCAGCTCGTGTGTACTTCTGCAGGACGGCATTTCGGAGGGCAAAGCTTGTCCCTAGGCAACTTCTGCCATTCTGCATTCCAGAAGGAAAAAATTACAGTAAATTACCACATGCTACAAGAAGGCTGACATGGTCTAGAAAGCCTTTTTACATAAAGTGAATCAATTACAAGGAAGCGTGTAGCTACGGAAACAGTTCCAACAGTTACGACGGCAGAAATCAGATACAGAAGAGAGCAAATAAAACCTGGGCTTGTCAGCCACGCTTGGGTCTACACGACCACAGCTTTTTAACTGGTTTGTCACACAATCCTGTCCTAAAGGTGTTTAAGAGATGAAGTAGTTCATTGAGATAACCAGAAAAATCAGTAACGATTTACATTTTACAAGTGCAAAACAATTACAGGTTTAAAAGACAAAAAAGCCCCACTGAAACTGAAAGAACGAATAATGCAAGGGGACACTACAAAAAGTGTACCAGCTACAGAAAATACTATTTTTTGCAGCAAAAATTGTTCTCATTTCACTGTGTACTTTTCCTTCTACAGTATTAAGAGGCACACAGTTCCCTTCCCACCCTCCCTGAGAACTCCTAGAGTACATTCAAATTCTTCATCTGGAAAATAAAGGTCCACCCACTTGCACTAATCACCTGATTTTTTGAGGACATCAGGCAACTAAAAAAAAAAAAAGGATCAGTGAGATTTTGAATCACAGAACGGTTTGGGTTGGAAGGGACCTCAAAGACCATCCCAGTTACAACCCCCTGCCATGGGCAGGGACACTCTCCACTACCCCAGGTTGCTCAAAGCCTCATCCAACCTGGCCTGGAACACTGCCAGGGATGGGGCAGCCACAGCTTCTCTGGGAAACCAGTTAATTCAATTGAAAGCATCACGGTAGGAAAAGGGAAGAACTCTTTTCTTTTTCTGCTAATAATTAATTTTCTAACTTTATATATACTCCATAAATGTATTGAATTTGGTCTCCGCAGTGAGAACGTAAGCCCTATTTATAAAATTATACAATTTGCATCATTCTGCCAGTCAAAACCAAAGAAATACACATTTTGTATTGCACTGGCCAACGGAGTTCTTAATACAGACAGTTTTTCTCTTAAAAACCCCACAACATTGTAATATAAAATTAGCATAGGTAGTTGCACAACATCTGAGGTAACAAATTGCTCCTTTAAATACAAAAAGCCAGTTTTTCCCCACACTGCAAAGCCAGTTAAAACAACTGTACCTCTATTTATCTTGGGGGTGGAAGAGGTGAATGCAAACGGACAACACAGTATAAATAAAGGAAGCAAAACTTACTGCTATGTTTAAAAAGCAAAACTCACCAGTGTTTTATCAGAAAAACTGTGCTAAGTAGAAATAAGAGGGGAAAAAGCCACGAAACTGTGTTTGGTCACTTCTTCTAATCAATTCTAAATAAGTGCATTGATCACCTTCACAGTTCATGCTTCCTTATATTTTATCAGAAAAACTGTGCTAAATAGAAATAAGAGGGGAAAAAGCCATGAAACTGTGTTTGGTCATTTCTTCTAATCAATTCTAAATAAGTGATTGATCACCTTCACAGTTCATGCTTCCTTATAATGACATTTTGTACCTCTCTGAACAGATACCTATCGCCAGCATGTCTCTCTATCAGCCAGTACACTATTTATTGCAGGCATCTATTTGAATTTGTTTCTCCAGTCAGCTTCTCTGAAAGCAGCAGGAGAACACGCTCCCCAAACAGGATGCTCCCACACAACGGTGGCTGATAGCAACACAGAGAAGCTGCAAAAAATCACAGTTAACTGATTTTTATAGTTCTGGCTTGTGACAAAATGACATGACAGGAGTCAAATAAAACAATTAATAAGCTTGTTT